AGATGTAAAATATGCTTTGGATTTGGTCATGACAGCAGAAACTGTCCTTTTGCATTGAAGAAAACATAGAACTACAAGAAATTCATCAGCATTGGACGTTTTTAGATATTATTATGTTTGATTTGATTAAAGATTATGTTTTTGATGAACTACATGGTATTATTTCAGTAAAATAAAATTTTGTTTGATGAAATTTACGTTTGTCTATCTTATATATTTATGTTATTACATTGTTTTTTGTTTTTCTGATATATGTTTGTTTAGAGAATTAGAATTATCCAGTTATCATTCATACACAGTTATATACATCTCATTCTGACGGAATATATAAAAAAACTTCTTCAATACATTTCAGAAAATATGTTTCACGGTTCATAAAATCAAAACACATAATGTCAACAATAAATTGTGTAAACAATGAGAATACAACGATTTTAACTTAAACATTTTCAAAATTCAAGTCTTTTTGTCATCCATGTTGATATAACATTCTAGTGGAATTATTTGAAAATATCACATATTAAAGACTTTTATTAGCCATTTATACATATTATTCTAATAGAATAATATACAGACAATACGATATGTAGAGTTTTATAATCCATGTTTACACATTCTAATGGAATTATGTACTAAATAAATTGTTTTGCATATTATTTTTTAAGATAAAAAAATATTGTTTATTATAGTAAGATATGAATATTTTTTTATCTTTAGTATGTTTTAAAACAGAATCAAATCGGAATCATTATTTATTTATCAAATGATCCCTAGGATCAAGCCTTTTAATTTGCATAGTATCCGTGTTCATCCCTATTTCTTTTCTATGTCAGTTTATCATACTTTATTTTTTCGTATTCCATAGCTATGGGCGATGAAGTACCAGATGTCAATACTCATATTTATCAGGAACAATATTTTGCTAGTGATGATGAAGATGGAACTGAAGATTTCGATTTTCCTGATAATGATACACTAAATGATGGCGGATTTGAAATAGGAGAAAGCAGTAATCCTAATCTAGGTAAGGTTTTGAATCTTTTGTTTAATTTCTCATTGTCTATCAGGTTTTATACTTGTTGAAACATGTTTAACATTAAATGTTAATGTGTTTTCATTGATTAAACATACAGAGGACGCAAATCATGCAGAAGACGAAAATCATTTGATTGATGAAGATACAGAGGTTAATATTAATTTCACTGAAGGTACTAAATTCAGTTAAGGATATTGAAATTATTACATACTATTTTAATTATGTCAGAATAATTATTTTCTTCGTGTTTTCATTGATTAAACATACAGAGGACGCAAATCATGCATAAGACGAAAATCATTTGGTTGATGAAGATACAGAGGTTAATATTGATTTCACTGAAGGTACTAAATTCAGTTCAGGATATTGAAATTATTACATACTATTTTAATTCTGTCAGAATAATTATTTTCTTCATGTGTTTTAAACAGGACAACCACATGATACACATGATTACGTTTCACCTGGTGGCACATTGTATTGGACCCCGATTGTTTCAGACGATATCAAACCAAAAGTAACATCAAAATTTGATTCATATGACAAAGTTGTAGCAATGTACAGAAACTATGCATTAGAATCTGGCTTTGATGTCAGGCTTGGAAGAGTCAAAAAAACGAATAATGGGATTATTGCATATAAACATTTGGTATGCAATCGGGAAGGTAATCCAAATACTAGTAAAGTAGATACTCTGGACATTCAGCATAATAAAACTCAAAGAAGGAAAGATTTATTTAGGAGGAATTGTAAAGCGAAAGTTGTTTTAGATATAATTCCAGGTACTCTTAAATATGTCGTGAGTGATTTTGTCGAACAACACAATCACGAGCTGTTTAGCAAGGGCAATATGTATTTATCTCGTTCAAAGAGAAAACTTGATTATTCCCAGGAAATTTTCATTCATAATATGTCAACGCAAAATATTGGTCCTGTAAAAGCACATAGACTGTACAGTGCTCTTCAGGTCGGTCCTTCGGTTCGAGGTGGATTGGTTTCTGATTTCAAGAATGCTAGGAGAAATCTGAATTGTTACATAGGTGGGAGGGAAGCGAAATTCCTTGTTGACAAGATGAATGACAGGAAGAAAAATGTCCCATCATTTACTTTTGAGTATAAAGTCTTGAACAAAAGATTGAATGCTCTATTTTGGGCTGATGAAACATCAAAGTATAACTACAATTCGTTCGGAGACGTTGTATCACTCGATGCCACATTTAGCATGAATAAGTATTTCTAATCTTTAATACTTTTACAAATAGATTTTTTTAAGATATGTAAAATAATATTTTTTTTAATAGGTATGATATGGTTTTTGTTCCGTTCACTGGCATTGATAACCACAAAAAATGTGTAACATTTGGTGCTGGACTTTTAAGTAAAGAAGATGGAGTTTCTTATGAATGGTTGCTTAGAGCTTTTTTGAAAGCTTTTAGAAAACAACCTCAATTGGTTATATCTGACCAAGATCCAGCTTTGAAGAAAGCTATTGATACTGTTTTCCCGTTGGCACATCATAGGTTATGTATGTGACATATTACTAAGAAGTTGCCAAATAAGGTATGCACATAAAGACTATTATCCTTACTTTGTTGTCATGGATATATTATGATTTACCTCAATTCTAACAGAATCAATTTCTTTACAAGATACTTTACTCATTCTCATTAAATATACATTTATACAGATTTTATCAATTGAAGATACAGCCACCAATCAAAAATTTCGCAAGCGTTTTTACTCTATAATTTGGAATTCTAAGCTGGAACCACATGACTTCGAAAATGTATGGCACACGATGTTAGAGGAGTTTAAAATTACAGATAACAGTTGGATGAATACCATGTATGGTTTGCGAAGATATTGGATTCCTGCATTTTTCAAGCACATTCCAATGTCTAGTCTTATGCGAACTACATCACTGTCTGAAAGTCAGAATTGGTCATTCCAAACAACTACATTAACCGGTTCTTATCTTATCATGTTTATGATGACATTTGATTCAGTCATGGAACGACAAAGACATAATCAAATTCTCAATGATTTTAATACTGCCACAACTTTTCCTAAATTCATTACCCGTAGTCCGAATGAACCTCATGCTTCAAAGGTATATACACGCAAGATTTTTTATCAAGTTCAGAAGGAGATATCAAGAGCAGAAGATAATTGTTTCCAAAAAAATGTGATTTCTTCCAACGGTGTGGAAACAATTATCGTTTTGGAGAAAAAAAACAACATAACCACTACGCAACCAACTGATGTCGATGTTGATGAAAAAGACGAGGAATACAATTACGATTGTCTTATAAGAGATACTGAATACACGGTATATCTTTCTTTTTCACAAAAATAGTACATTTTATCCTTTGATTTTAATTTCTAAATGCCTACAACTAAAAACTTATCCTTACTCATCTTACATCGTACAGGTCACACACTCAACAAAAGACGGTTCATTCAAATGTACTTGTATGCATTTTGAACATGTCGGGATCTTATGCAGACACATATTCTGTGTGTTTAAGTACGCTGGCATCGAACAACTTCCTGAAAAGTACATTCTAAAACGTTGGCGCAGGGATGTTATTCCAACAGAATTACTTAGAAGACGGTTCACTAATTCTTTTGACGATTCTAATTCCGACATGACTGCTATTGATATTTTCAACACAGTTGACCGTTGTGTTTCTTTTCTTAGTCATGATGCAGCTAAATTGAAGTTATACCTTGACGAGAAGAATAAGTTGAATTTTTTTTTTGTAGATGATTGTCCGAATCATGAAGTACCGACCATAATAGAACATTTCAACAAGCTTCTAGGCGTGATAGTTCCTGATGTAGTATCTGATGTTAATGATATTCAGAATCCTTCAGATATTCGGAACAAAGGATGTGGCAGTCGTGGGAAAAGATTAAAATCTAAAAAAGAGATGATTGAAAAAGAAATCTCGAAACTGAAGAGAAAGTGTGCTATATGTAAACAGATGGCTCATCATGACAAAAGAAATTGTCCTTCAAAGAACGTCCAGACGTAGTTCTTTGTTTGTTAGTTTTTCAGTTTTATTAAAATCACATTTTCATTTTACGTTGGTCAATTCACATTCAATGTTATCTTTTATGTCTTTGAATAAAGTTTTCACTTTGACTGTTAGTGACCATGCCCTTCTAATTACACATATTCATTCCAATACAATTTTATACTAATTTTTTCAGAATTACACATTTATACACACATATTTACTTTAAAAATGGATACATTATACGTAAAAGCACATTTTTCATATACATCCCATTAATAGATGATGAATTATTACAACATACTCTATTATAATCATAATTGTAAAACAATTCTATCAGCATCAAAAAATTATAAACCACAACCTAGTCACAAAGTATTCACTTTCACTATTAGTAAACATGCCCCGGTCATTAAATATACTTATGTTTATGTTTTTTTATTTCTTAAAAATAAAAATATTCCGAAATACAAATATTTAGTAAACTCATTCTTTTCATACCTTTAATTATTTGTTACAACTTTTTCCATTTTTTTTTTCAAATTCATTTTCATGTTAACTAGATGTTTTATTGCTTAATGAAGTATAAACATACTAAATACTAATTAAACATATTCATTCCAAAACACTTTTATACTGATTTTTACAAAATTACACATTTGTACACACATTTATTTTCAACAAGAAACCTTTATACCAAAAGTTATATTCCCCATATAAAGCCCCATCATCAGAAAATGAAATATTACAAAATATTCTAATCGAATTATAACATTAAAACCATTCTACCAGCATAAAAAAATACTACCCCCATACCTAGTCATGATTTTTTTTTCACAATTTAATTCTGCATTTTATTTTTCCAAACAGCCCACCAAAGAACTAACATTCACCTAATGATGCTTCAACCAAAATGGGTTATTCACAATTAAGAACATAATCACTCATGACAGCATACAATGCATCAACACAACCTTTAACCCAAAACAAACATTCCATTAGAACATATAATCTAACATATAGATACCAAATGTTCAAACCTTCTGACAGACAAAGTACTTTTCCCAAAAACACAAAAAAAAAGTTTAAACTACTGTCATGTCAGCATCTAACTTCAAAATACCAAACTACCACTTCAATTTCTTAGCGACGACCCCTCGTTTTTCTCTTTTTCTTCCTATTTTCAGCTGACTGTTGTATAATCATTGTTTGTTCCAAAATATCCAGCTTACGAAACGCTTCAAAATCTGTAACTATCATACTCTTATACTTGTTGAAGTCAGCTGTCAACAGTCTTGCCATGTATTTCATTATTAACTTAAGTATAGCAGTCACATCACCCGACTTTTTACCTGTAAGCCCACACTCCCAACGCCCTTCACTTTCACCCATGTAACTTTCCATATGCCTCATTAGGTAGATTCCACAATCTGTTCCAGCCTGTTCTACCTGCCAAGATATGTTCATCACCCGCCCCGCCTTAAAACTTAAGGCTTTTGCCATTGGATGATGTTGTGATGTTAAGTAGTTGCATAATAGTTTTTTCTGTCATTGAATACAACAAATACATCAAATATAGTTTATAAACATTTTTTATAATGAAAACAGAATGCTCAGAATATTATTCAGTATCTTACCACCAAATTTGGTATCATTCCATATTTCCTATCTAAGGTTCCTGTTCTCTTAACATGATCCACTATGTAGTATGAACTTGATCTCAGATCAAAGATCAGTAGGTAATACTTTGCATCATCAACTATTGGGAAGAAAACCTTGTACACAGTAAAAAACAAAGTTAAATTAACATTAAGTGATGCAACAATTAATACACACACACAATATACGTACAAGTGCAACATCTCTGAAACTTGGCTTCACATCAAATTTCTTAATGTAGATTTGCAACAGAGTAGCAAAAAGCCTACATTTTAGATCTTCCGTTTTTAATTCTTTCAGAATCTCTTCTATCTGTAAACATCCACATCATCACAAAATTTTTATTCTAAAAAAATTAAACTACAATTTAAACATACTTTACAAAAAAATTCCATACCACAATAGTTGTATCGAAGAAAAATCTTGACAACGATGATTCATCCTTGTAGTTCTCCATTTTATTTAAAAACCCAGCCCAACAATCAATTACTCTAGAATGTAGAAACATTCCTTGATTAAATTGAAATGCAAAACCCTGTTGCAACACATGACCTGTTCCAATGTCCCAAATCTCATCCCTGTACCACAAATTACATATAAAATCAATGTTCAAAAAATTACATTTTTATTCTAAAAAAAATTAAACAACTTATATATACTTACCCATCATCTCTATTAGATGCAAAAATTGAATTGCAAATTCCTGATTCATCCTTACTCAGTTTATCCCCAACCTTAACAATTCTTTCAATATACGGGGAATGGAATATCTTTGCCTTTTTAGGGATACGTTTTTCCCTTACTTCAATGTCAGCATCTTCTGCAGCATTCTCAACCTGTTCTCCTAAATTTATTCCAACCATATCTTCCCCCCTCAATCCTGACATTAGCTTTTTCCTTCTATACACCTGTAACTCAGTTTCTTCCAACATATGAATCATTTCATCATTCACTCCCGGAAGCCGATGAAACTGGCTCATTGTTAAATCATTGGTGTTAACAGGGGTATTATAACTTACATCTTTCTCTATATTAACTTCACTAATTACCAATCCTCTAACAGGTGAAGTATCATCTCCATTGCCATCGACCATATCATTCCTATTCACCTCATTATACCCCTCTGAATCATTCACCTTTGTGTTGTTTGTGCCTTCATGATTTCCCCTAAAAAGCTCATTCATCTTTTCCAACCACTCTTTCAACAACACACTATTAGGGAACTTTTCCAATCCATCCTTCAACGCAACCTCCATAGTACTTTTTTCTGTTAGAATTAACCCATAACTATGCTCTAAAACAGCAGCGTACGCCTGCAATACATATTATTACTTTTTAATTACACTACAAGAATATTTCAACAATTTTACTATCAGAATATTCACATATATTCTATCAGAATGTATGATCAAATTTAAAGTCTAATAATCACAAACTAAATACTTATGCAACACAAAAATATAATTTTACCTCCTCATCTCCAAAATCCCTCCTAAAACTGACCAACTGTTGATCTTCACCCCCTGTTTCATCATTAATATCGACATCGTCATGCTCATCACGAAACAACCTTCCGAACCCTCCCAAACTGATTTCGTATCGTTGAATCTCTAATAAATTGGCACCAGTTATATGCCCAATAAAAGGTACCCTTTTGTCTAACTTCATAGAATACTTCATGTTGTACACGTACACCAACTATAAAAAAAAAAATTTAAAACAAACATTAACTAAATAAACATATAAATAAAACATTAATAACCAATCTATAATATCATATAAGACCATTGAACACTTACTAGAAGGAGTGTAATAGGCCCAGTGTAGTAGCTTGATTTGTCATCTCTTTTCCATAGATTCTTCCTTGATCCCAAACAGTCGAGCATATACTTACACCAATTTAACTTTGAAAAGTCTTGTACTAACACCAACTTCCTTACCACTTTTACTTGATTTGTTCCCATCAACATTGACTCTATGAAGTTGTTGATGAAAAGAGTTAAAAAATTTAGCCTAAACATCAAGCTATCTTTTGATGTGGCCTGAATTCTCCTTAAATACTCCTCACCATTGAACTTATCACCAGTATATTGTCCCCTCCATTCTTCCAGAATTTCATTCCCCTTGTCACACAATGGCAACTCATTGAAGTCTTCTCAACCAATTAGCAACCCCATCATATCATGTACTGTTTGCTCTGTGATCTCAATAACAGAGTTTTGTAGGACAAGTCTTCTACTATCAGCATCATAAACATCTAAAAGGTAGTAGCATAGTTGGCCAGGATAACTTGTTATATTCACTTGCAGAATTGACCCAAAACCCATCCTTAATATTGCTTGTTTTTGTTCCGGTGACATGCCCCTAACAGCTGCAGTGATGTTATCACATTTCATTCTGGTTGACAGATTTCTTAATCCAGGTGGGTATTCCTTAGTTGTTTTTCTAACATGATCTTCTTTTTCCTCTTTCACAGATTCATCAATTCCCTTATTCTTTATATTCTTTAGAATTGGAACTCTCTCATGTGTTATCTTTGATCTTATCTGCCTTTCAAAAAGTAGTACATTTAGAGGTTTAGGACTTTTCTTTTCTGCAACTGGTTTATCAAGTTTTTTCTTTGATCTTCTTTCTCGTTTTATGTGTTGTTCTTCTTCTTGTACTTGTTCTGCTATAATACATAACAAATATAAGAATGTATAGTAACATGTATTAAGTGATGACATAAAACACAATATTAGCACTTATTATTATTCCATCAGAATATAACACAAACTACCAAATTATCATGCCTTGTATTCAGATTCTTAATTTATACTTCTAGAATAAATCACCACCATAATACAACAAGCACATTTTTGTATTCCACTCCTACATTCTGAACATTGAAATACATATATTCATACATATATTCATATTCTATTATAATATATTACATATGCAATGTATCAATTAACAAAACCATGGTGCCCAAAGTCATAGACATTTTCTTTTATTGAACTGTTTAATTTATTCTACTGGAATATTTACCAAACAAATAACAACAACCAACTTTCTAAATCCCCCTTTTACACACTGAACATTGACATACATGTATTCATACACATGTTCATGTTCTATTAGAATATATTACATATGCACTTTATCAATAAACAAAAAACTATACATTTACTATTATTAGAGTTTCAGTAACCAAGTACACACATCATATACACTTTATAGAAACTATACCAGTAGAAAAAAAATTAAAAAAACAAATTCCACCAGAATATCAGACATTACAACTTAAAGAATCAAATCAACAATACATTTCTATACTTACACCCATATGATACCATACATTCTACTAGAATAATAATAATTGCTAATATTCTACACACCAAACACATAACATTGAATTCATGTATTCTATACATTTTACAATTGAGATTGAAATAGATGTATTTATATACATATGCATATTCTACTAGAATATATTACATATTCAATATATCAATCAACAAAACAAACTTTAAATTTACCATTATTAGAATTTTAATGACCACACTATACACATAGTATACACATTAAAGAAACTAGAACAGTAGAAAAACAAAATTAAAAAGACATATTCCACCAGAATTTTAGTAATTACAACTCCAAATATATAATTAACAATCCATTAATATACTTACAATCAGATGATGATTAATATTCTAATAGAATTTTTCCACCAAACTTCAATTCTATCATAATTTAAAATCATGTTTCCACACCTTTCTACGAAATCCATGATTAATTCTAATAGATTAAAAAACACTTTCACGTTCACAGAAATACACCATTCTAACTGAACAAAACCATCAAACTACTTATTCCAACTAGATTACTATCACTAACTTTATCATACTACCGTTGAATACTCTACCCATCATGTATTATTAAGAAATTACATAATAATCACAAATTCATTTTGAAAACGCAAATCATACCTACAAAAACGTCTCTGAATATACTTGTAACAGTTTACTACATTCTAAAAAAACACAAAACAAACACATAAAACAATAAATTCTTACCTTCTGCTTCGGCAATGAAATCATCGACATCATCTTCAAGATTTAATGGCGTCTCCACTGTGTTCTTGAACTTGGACTTGAAGGAATTCGATCGTGTACTCCTCATTCTACAAGAATCAAGTTTACAGAAACGCTAAAATGCCGACTCCGTCTTCTAGGCTTCACTGTCGATATTTATATCCAAACCCTTTGACGAATCTTCCAATTCTAAAGAACGATTACACAAAATCAGAATATGCTTCAAACTCCGAAAGGTTTGGGTGTTTGATTTTGATTCTATGCGAAATGTTTGGGATTATCGGTGGAATCCGTTCCATAAATAAGACGGTTTCCTAATAAACTGTCGATGCTAAATACCATTTTACCCTTCCGTGCCCACTCATTTAATGAAACCCCCTTAAAATGTTTTTTTTTCCATTTAATTTTAAAAGAAAACCACTTTCTTAATTTACCACAAATGATTGGCCTAGAATGCATAACACAAGCACACAATACTTAGCAAAAACATTATAACCTAACCCTATATATATATATATATATATATATATATATATATATATAAAATAAAATATATTATACAATAATTTATATTATTTTTAATAATTTCAGGTACAATATGATATTTGTTCCTTTCACTGTTATTAACAACCATAAAAAGACAATCAATTTCGGATCAGGACTAATATCAGATGAAACAATTGAGTCATACTCCTGGTTATTAGAAGCTTTTATGGCAGTACATAAGAAAAAACCAACCATGATTTTGACAGATATGGATCCAGCTTTAACTTCTAACATATCAAAGGTGCTTCAAGGATGTACTCATAGATTATGTATGTGACACATAATGTCAAAAAATCCTTCAAAGGTAATAAATTGGTTTATTCATTAAATTTAATATATCTTATGTAAAAATACTAATATCTAAACATTTTAAATGACAGATTGAACCTGATGCTGTTTCAAATTCATATTTCAAGAAACGCATAAATCAACTAGTTTGGAGTATGAATATTGAACCATCAGAATTTGAGTTTAAGTGGGATATGATGTTGAATGAATTTTATTTGAGGGAAAATAAATGGTTAGATGATATGTTCAACAGGAGAGACAAATGGATTCCTTCATATTTTAAAGATATACCTATGTGTGGCCTTATGAAGACTACATCTTGGTCTGAAAGTTCAAATTCATTTTTCAATGTTTTCTCCAGTCCAACAAACTTACTTGTAAACTTTATGTTCAATTTTGACACTGCGCTTTCAAAGCAACGTCATGAGCAATAAATATTGGATATTGCATCAAAAGATACTTCTCCCCAAGTTTTATTTGCACTTGATCCTTTGAAGATTGAAAAACATGCATCATTGGTGTAGACACGAGAAGCATTCATTAAAGTGCATAAACAGATTAAAAAGGCATCTTATCAGTGTTTTCAAAAGACTTCTATCATAGTTAATGGCTTTTAAGAATGCACAATCATTTACAAAGAAATTAAGTCAGGCAAAAGACCAGAATTTAAGGTTAATTTAAATGCTATTTATTAATGATATTTGTTTACAATTATTTTAAGTTTTATAATTATATTTGTCTAATTAAATATTATTATTATCTTTCGATGCACATGAACAAACAATTGATTATGAATGTTTGCATTTCCGATTTTTTGGAATCCTACGTAGTCATGCTTTTAGAGTTCTAATAGATTACGACATTTTCAACATACCTGATAAATACATTTTGGATCGATGGAGAACGAACATAGTGGATGTTGGTTTTCAAAAGGTAAACCAAAGATGGTGAGTATGCAATACAAATATTTCGAATCTCTTGCAGGATAAAATTTACCATATTGGATAGATGTAGGGTTGATTGTGGACCAATCATTTTAGTTAAATTAAGAAAGTGATTAATAAATATTATTGAATTAAAAATAATTGAAAAATACCATCTAATTTCATATAAGATTATTTTAGTGGATTGAGATAAAATTTAAAAAAGAAAAATTCCAGATTTTTGGGGATAATTAATTCTCTTGATTTAAAATTTCTGATTTTTTTAATTAATTCAAACATAGTTTTAATTATACTCGATTTTATTCTGTCAAAATGTCATTCTGTTAGAATGATATGCTATAAGAACATCAGGATAAATATTTCTGACAGAATACATATTTTGATTAAATGAACTTCTTGACGAAATACAACATTTTTGAACCAATTGTTGAAAAATAACAAGATCCTTGTATATTCTTGGACATCTTAATGTAGATTCATAAATAATCTTACAAAATGTTAGAAAAATGAAATAAATTCTTAAAAAGCATATCATGCTTAAATATACAATTCTTGAAAAATTGAACTTGATCTTCTTCAATGGTCCAGACTCCAGAGTCGACTTGATTCCAACCAGCCTTATGCGAATGACATTCTATGAGACTAACATAAGACGAGAATTACAATTTGTAAGAATACCCTTTTGTGAGAATACATTTTCTTCATCATCTAATAGATGCAATGCTCATATCTTTGCAAAAAATAAATAAATAAATACACATTATCAAATCCTATGATAAAATAACCTTACAAACTTTAGTGATTCTAACATAATGTATACCACACGGTCATAACCAAATAATTTTGTATGAGAACCCAAAGAATATTGTCCTTCTTTATTCTCAAAGAATATTGCTCTTCCTCATTCTAAAGTCTTCACCATTCTAAAAAAATATTTGCAAGTTTTAAATAATATTCGTTAGGTAAATCAAATAAATTTCATGACTTTATAATGAAACAAACCAAGCAAATATTGGATAACAAGCTAAGAATATGGAATAATGAAACAAACCAACTCACTATGAAAGGGAAAATGGTCAAAATAGTAAAATGGTGTAGAATAACAAGCTAAGAATATGGAATAAGATGCGTTCTGTAATAACGGTAGACTTTTTTTTTTTTAAGTTGTCACTCAAAAAAATATAAATAATAAAAGAATCAAACAATACATTCGTCATGAGAATTGTAAATTTATTGTATTATAAGTTGTATCAAATTTTGTGAAAATAACTTATAATTTGTTAATCAAATTGATTGAAAAATCAAATTCCAATAGCAAATATTGATTGAAAAATCAAATTCCAATACAAAATATTAAAGTTTCTCACGTGATCAACAAATTAAGGAACTAACATAAACAAAAAACAAATCAAAAGGATTAATGAACACTATTCGAATTGTGAGGGATAAACGTAAATTAAAAGTGCATAAATATTTACATATTTGCTTTGGAAACTGTCCAGCACAAAACTTATTTATAAGGTAATTGCCAATGTTCCAAATATAATAATCATTTAATCGGTCCATTATTATTATTATATATATATTAAAATTATAAACAAAAGGAACAGTTAATATGACACCTTTTGCCCACTTTTGAGAATTACATTCTCAGTCCTTCTATTTTCCTCTGTGTTTCAATTTGTTAATCTAATAATGTATTTTTGTTTGTGTCCCACCTGGCAGAAACGGCCCTCCTACTTAAGTTGCTTGCTTCTCGATTTATGACATTTTCTCCATTAAAAAAAAAACACCGCCTCGATCTTCCAGATCATTCCCACCGCCTCGCTTATCAGTTCCTTCCATTCCCTACCGGCCTCCAAACCACCGCCTCAGTCGGGTGTTCATCGGGTTACTGTCGACCATGGTCACCGCCTCGACCGCTCACCGCTCCACCGCCTCATCCGTTTAATAGTCGAACGTTAGAGGTTGCCACTGTTTGCTATCGACTTCTTCACTTCACTCGCTGATCAACACTCCCTCTGCTAAGTTAAAGCAAGTCGTTTCGGGTACTTCCATGCGCCCTATCTACACTTTCTCCTCTGTTGATGGATTCTGGAGGCTTCGTTTGTATTTCGCTTGCCTTCTAGAGGGATATGATGAAGACCAGGAAGAGAATCACTAACAATCAAAAGTCGAATCTTAACTCGGTATGTAATTCCGCCGACTCCAATTTTTTCCCTAAATTTCTTATTTCTAGACGGAGATGGAGACCCCGGTGACGACCATATTCAAAGATTCCTTTCTTTCTCCGCCTACTTCCAGCAGCGATTGATCGGATATGTGCTGATTTGGTGGGTTGCATATTTCATCTGTGTATCTACTATAAATTGAAGTCCTCTTCTTCTGTTGCTGCAGGTAGTCTATCCAAACTCCACATTTCCTCATTAAACCTTGTCTTATGTTCGTCTTTTTGTGTTATTACTGTGATTCAGGGCAAGAAAATGAGGCTTATGACATTTGGCTGAAAGAAGTCGAAAAACTGAGGGCATAAATCGAAAGGATAGGGTTAGTTCGTTATCCAGACAAGCAACCAATTCATCCCCGATGGAAAACAAGTAAGTAATTCGTTTTATTAAAAATCTGATGTTGCTTTTGAGCTTTTTCTGGATTTCGGTGTGGTGTAGAGCTGCATGCTTAGAGAATTGAAAGTTCTGTTTGGTGATTCTGGTCTGTAGGCAAAAGGATGACTCACCGTTCGTCTGCACTTGGGAAAACACCTTCTGGTATGATTCATATTCAACTTTTTGATTTTATACGCCCCGTTATCAATTGAATTGTCCAAAAATTGTAGTATAATATGATAAACTAAGGAATTCCAATTCCCCCATAAATTGGAAGAAAATCATTATCTATTTCTAGATTTCGCCCCTTTTGTAGATTGCTCTTAAGCATGGAATTATCTGTTAATGTCCTTACTTGCTATGTGTTATTATATATAAGATACAAGGAAGTTTATATTGAATGCTACCTTTTGGGGAAAGTTGGATTACTACACCATAAAACGTACAGTTGTTATATCTAGAAGGTGTTATGAATGTAAAATAAATTTAAGAAGTTCAAAGGCATTCAAGTAATCTTATGTGTTCGTTAGTATGATGAGGAGGGCATTGATGTCTTTTTCACACAGAAGAGATCAAGAAACAAGTCTCTTTCCCACCTTCAAAATACATTGCAACTTTTGTTCCATTGACTTAAGCATCTGAGTCCTATTCATCTATATTTACCTTCTTGAATATTAACAGTTATTTTAATGGCTGATTTATTAGATTATATAACCCTTTATGATAATGTAGGTAACAGAAGATTACAATATCTATTGCAGCAACGTCGTAATCGAACATGTGATGACTGTGGTGCACCTGATCCTAAGTGGGCGTGAGTTTTTTTAACTTCAATTAAAAGAACGTTAATTTTCAAATATTTACTCAGTAAAAAAGAAAATGGTAAAACTTTAAACTTTTCTTTCCTTTCCCTTAATTCAAGAACACTAAAAACTGTCAGCTAATCTTCTCTTTCTTTCCAACCCTAGAACGTGAATAAAATAATTAGTTTCCTTTCTTTTCCCTTTTTCCTTATTTCTTTTCCTCCAAAAGAAAATTAGCAGCTATATACATATGATTGTGCTTTATATTTTAGCCCTTCTTTTTTTTTTCTTTTTTATACATAACCAGTTTTCTACAATTTTTTTCCATGAATAATCATATGAAAATGTTTCGTCTTGAATTTTAGGTCAGCTAATATTGGAGTGTTCATATGCTTAAAACGTTGTGGTGTTCACAGATGTCTTGGTGTTCATATTTCCAAGGTTACCCCTCCCCAAATAAATAAATAAATACATTGTTGAACCAAATTTTAATGATAATAATCTGAATTTGGCAGGTTTTACCAATGACATTAGATTCATGGAGTGATGTTGAAATTGATGCCATGATTGAAGTTGGAGAAAATGCATCTGCAAATTCAATCTATGAAGCATATATTCCTCAAGGAATTTCTAAACCTAGACCAGATGCTACTCAAAAAGATTGTTCAAAATTTATCAGGTGGACGATTTTGCCCTTGTCATCTAAAACATGCCTTTTTGTTCATCTCCTCACAATTTATTTTTTTAAAAGACCTTGTATTTTTTCATTCTTTCGAGAAAAGCCCTCAGCTTTGTATTTTTTTTTTCCCGGAAAAGACTCGAACTTCTAAATGTTTCAGACTAAACCGTCAGCTTTTTTACTTTTTCTTGAAAAAAAACCCACATTTTACAAGTTTTTTTTTGGAAAAAAAATGACAAAGGTTACATTGGAAAAAATAAAAAAAAAAATTACATTTTACTTTCACGTTTATGAGTTTTTTTTTTTTTTTTTTTTTTTTTTTTTTTTTTTTTTGCTTCTATGAATGGATGGACAGGAACACATGAAAGATATGCTCAGACCATTTTTCAATTGCTGTTATATGATTGTGAGAGTTTACTCATTCTGTTACAATTTTCAATTAATGTGTCTATGTTTCTTTTTTATTCATGTTATTTCTTTTGATTCTGTTTGCTGTTATTTTCCTAGGTATTAAGCTTTGAAATTAATGAAGCTCTATTTGTTATCATGCATTCAATATAAAGTAATCTATTTGTATAATTAATATCTGAATATAAAAATATATGAATCATTATTGTTTGTGCAGCTGCACTGTGGGAGTTACCCCTGTTCAGAGCACCTTTTCGTCTCCCCTGCTTCGCCTAAATTGTATTCAAATTGCCATTCCAGTCCTTGATTTTCCGTCTTCTCCATCATCTTCGTTGAGGTTCTGGTCCGAGGTCGGTAATTTTGTGCTTTTTTTCTACACTTTTTTTTCCATATCAGAAAAATTGATTGTTGTTGTTGGTTTTTTGGAGATAGATTCAATTTAGCAATGTACATTTTTTTTTATTCTTTTTTTTATAGCATACTACAATACTTTGATATCTTTTCTTATTAACACATTGTCCTGTGAAAATTCTATCCAATTATTGGATTGTATTTTCTTATTATAACATTTACACGTTTGTAAATAGACAAATCTCCTACAATGGCAACGTACTTTATTGTGGCTAACAACTTAGGCAATGTACTTTACTTTGACGCAAAAGCAACAAACACCTTGCGGGGGGAAACTTTCTAGTTAAGATTAAAAAGAGAAATGTAACCCCACCAAGCACTGTACTACCGGATCATAACTTTATGAATTTGATAGAATAATCACAAACCAAAGCTATCAATAAAAGCTACATAAAAATATACCTGGAATAATTTTGTACTGTTAAATAAAAAAAATATAATTGGTAGAAGATGTTTTAGTGTTTATGCTATCTTTTAGGTTATATTTATCAATCCGATATTAAAAGATATAAAAGATGAGAGATGTATTAACTATTAAGTGTTGATGATGTTTTTAGAGGACTCAATGCTATAGCTCATCTTAAGGTCTTGAAACTTTTATCTATTGTGTAGTTCATTAAATCATATACAAGTACAAGATCCCAATTGTTATTTTTGTTAATAATAAACACTTGTTTGAAAACAACCACTAAAGTCTTTAGTGAACTTGAGATTTAATTATTTAAACATTGCAAAACAAAGTGGATTAGTGGTGTATTTCACAAACTTACATTTTAAAATAAACTTATACATTTAAGGAAAAAGATAGAATAACTTGACCAAATTAGCAGGTAAATAAGACAATATGAAACCCATAAACAAAATAATGGCTTTCTTACTTGTGTATCTAAATTTTGTTTCATCACTTCACTCAATTTCACCACACCATAAATATACCATTTTCCTAATCAAGAAAACAGTCAGAGAAAAATTTAATTTGTTAGGAAATTGAAATATCACTTAATGTAAAATAGAAGACGTATCAAACATTAGTAGGTTGTCATCACAATCACATGAAATCAATATATCAATACATCTCTTGTATAACTATAAAAATTTACATATGGAATTAATATATCTTTATTTTTATGCAAAACATGTAAGATATAAATCATATACACATCTATACATATATGGTCTATTTATAAATATATAAACAAACTGATTACGCCCCAAAAAGACAATAAAACTTTTGTTTTAAATACTCAAATTTGTAAATGAGAAAAAGAAAATCAAATGTATTTAACAGAAAGTGTGAAAGTACATAAAAACCCTTCTAAAAATGTTCAAGATGAAGAAGCCAAGGTCCTTTCAATGGCAGCAACATAGAACTCTTTAGGCATCGTCCCAATCACCGATTCACACTTCTCTCCATTCTTGAACACCAACACAATCGGCACAGCTTTGATGTCATATTCCTCTGCAATTCGTGGGTCTTGATCGGCGTTCAGCACGAAACACTTCACTTTTCCGGCGTACTCGCCGGCGATTTCTTCAATCACTCGGTGCACCATCTGACATGGTCCACACCAACTGGCGTAGAACTCGACCAGCACCGGAGTTTTGCTGTCAAGAACCGATGTGTTCCATGATTGCCCCGACACCACTGTTGCTGTAATCGGAAATTTATGAAGAAATTAACAGATTTGAGCTATAATCCCCAAATTTAATCAGCACAAAACAGATGAAGAACGCTCAAAAAGGGATCATAATGTTTAATAATTTGAACTAGTAAACTTTAAAACAAGAAATCCCCCAATTTAATCTCAATCTAGTAACGAATTCCAGTAACCACAACTATATTCGGAAAATCTTATGATCGAAAATAAATCCCACCAAAAAAAGGAAAATCAAGCTATGATCATAAAAAAAAACTTCGCCCGAATCAACAGGCTATTTCGTGATTTAGTTGTTAACGGAAAGAGATTAAATAAATACCTTTAGATTGGCGTCCCATGGAGAGGACTCGAAGAGGAGAACTTTTTTTGGATTGGCGAAAAGAGAGAGATGAGAAGCCATTAATTTGATGAGGGGAAGCAAAGGAGGAAGATCGTGGTGCAAAGTGGGAATGATTGGGAGGAGAAGGTTGAGGTAAAAGGGAGTAAAGAGAAGAGGAAGAAGATACATTTGCCATGATTGGATTATTGATGGAAGAATCGATCAGATCTTCGTTTGAGAAGGAGCGATCATGGATCAGATCTAATTGGGGACGTGGAGAGTCGAAGATGAAGAAGATGAAAACCAGGGAGAGTGATGCCGATGAAGAAGAGAGAAGACAAAGTGAACACGTTAAAATGGAGAATTTTCAATTTTGTATCGAATGAAAATGAGTTGTGATGGATAAAATATTCAGTTGGTTTTTAAGTAGTGATTTTTAAAAATATATTTCTTTGAAATGAAAATTATCTAAAAGGAAATTAAGTAAACTAACAATTATAAACAGTTTTTTTTTTTTTTTTTCTTCAGTTTTTAAAAAATGATAATTATCTTCGGAATGAATTATTCCAAAACGTCTTATTCTAGACTGTTTCTTAACCTGGAGTTTTTTTTCTAGTATTTCTTTTTCAAAGAAGTTTATTTATTTTTATCTAAAATCTCAATTTCAAAATGTTTAAAATCACTGTTTTTCAATCAAAATGTTTGATTTTAAGTTATATTATTGTATATTTTTTTTACTATGTCTATTTAACTTTTTGATAGATTTTAATAAAAAACACTTTTTTTCGAAATTTCGGAACTGTTTATCGGATTTCGGATTTGTTCTTAAATTTTGAAGCTTTTTTTTCTTTTTCAAACTTCAAATTTTTAGTCCGGAATGTAAGTCCCAAAATTTACTTTTTTGACATAAAAAATTATTTTTGCTCGATCCAAAATCTTTCATTCTGGACTTGGTGATTGTTTTTCAAAAACAATTTTTTTTAATATTTTCTTCAAATACACACGTTACATTGTTGTTAGATTACTCAATTTCATTTATCTGTATATTTTTCATTTTTTTTTTGTAATTTGCTATAAAGAATATTTAATTAGTAAATAAAAAGAAAAATGTTTGGAAAATCCTATTTTTTTTGTGGGGAAAACTGTAATAAAGTCTTTACATATTGGTCTCAAAAGTGATTTAGTCGTTATATCTTTTTTTATTCAATTAAGTCTCAAAAACCGGTAATCGTATTCAATTTAATCATTTTATTCGGTCAACAGATCATTCAACTTTCAAAAATTACATTTTTGGCCCATTTTTTAAATTTTATTACATATTTGGTTCAAAGTTTACACTTTTGGCACAAATTTTAAATTTCATTACAAATTTGGTCCAAAATTTACCATTTTGGCCAAAATTTTAGAGTTTTGTTATGAATTCATCCTAACTTTAGTTTTTTTTTTTACAACTTTTTTTCTCAAAATATTGTTTCAAATATGTCTTTTCATTACAAAATCATATTTATACAAAAAAAAAACATATTTTCACATAAAAATCTTATATTTTCTATATAAAACTTTTTTGTATACGAAATACTTACTTATAAAAATAGGTATTTATTAAGTATATAAATATATATAAATCCGTTTTTTATAAAAAAAATATATATAGACATGTATTTTACAAAAAAAAAAATGAATACAAACACCTATTTTATTATAAATACATTTGTATGCAAACACATAATTAAAAAAAATGTATACAAACACTTATTTCATAGTAAACTTATACATTTCCTTTATAAAAACATATTTATATCCACCCAAATAAGTGTTTGTATACATTTCTATTGTAAACACATATTTATATATATGTTTTTATAAACACCTATTTTATAATAAATGCATTTGTATTCAAACACGTTTATATATAAAATATATTCAAACACGTATTATATAAAAAAAATTCAAACACATTTTTATAAAAGAAATGTATACAAAAATGATTTTATAAAAAATATATATATACACACCTATTTGTGTGCATATATATATATATATATATATATATATATATATATATATATATATATATAATATACACGTTAGTATGAAATATGTGTTTGTTTACATTTTTTATAAATATGTGTTTGTATACAAATGTATTTATAATAAATAGGTGTTTATGTACATTTTTTTTTGTAAAATACGTGTTTGTATACATTTTTTTTATAAAAATGGATTTGTATATATTTATGTACTTAATAAATACCTATTTTATAAATAGATATTCCGTATACAAAAAAAATTTAAAAAAAGTTTTTATATAGAAAATATAAGATTTTTTATGTGAAAATGTGTTTTTTTGTATAAATATGATTTTATAAAGAAAAAACATATTCGAAACAAAATTTTGAGAAAAAAGATGTAAAACAAACTAAAGTTAGGAGGAATTCATAACAAAATTCTAAATTTGGCCAAAAGGGTAAATTTTGGACCAAATTTGTAAAAAAATTTAAAATTTGGGAAAAAAGTGTAAATTTTGGACCAAAATTGTAATAAATTTTGAAACCTGGACCAAAAATGTAATTTTTGAAAGTTGGATGACCTATTGATTGGGTAAATGGGTTAAATTGAATACGATTACCGGTTTTGAGACTTAATTAAATAAAAAAAATATATAATGATTAAATCGATTATGAAACCAATATGTAAGGACTTTATTGTAGTTTTTTTTCTTTCGGAAAAGTCATTATTAGAAATTGTTGTGAGATATTCATTAAAAATACCAAATATACATATGTAATATTGATTGCAAAATACCTATATTTGTAAGGAAAAAATAAATATATGACTGTTATGTATATAATATTAGGTATAAAACCATCATAACTGACTTCATTTTAATTAAAAAACACAATTTTCTTTTATTGCTAGCTTCTCCCTATTGTTTTGAAATTATATTATTTTTTATTTCGTGATTCATCCCAACATTTATGTATTTCGAAGGTGTTTTTGTAACATTCCGCCAAATAAATAAATAATAATAACTAAAATAATAAATAAATAAATAAATAAAATTAAATAAATAAAATGAATAAATAACAGCCCAGGCAGTAATAATTGATCAGTGTTAGCCGTGGGAGTTAAATGATATAAATTCCAGAATTTTGGTGTCTATATTGTAACATTAGGACCTGGAATGTGAAATATTTTGTAGATGAGGGGTTGTTATGTAAATTACTAGACTTAAATTGAAAAGAAAAGAGAGGGAGGGACTGAAAGTGTTAAATTGGTCAATGTTTGAACTGGACGGGGGCTTTAAACCCGTCAGCCTCCTTCCCTCGTCCCATACACAACTCAAAACCCTAACCATAACAATCTCTCAGCCGCCACCACCTTATCCTTCCATCTTCCAGCCGCCGCCACCCCCTTGACACCTCCAACCTCTTCGTTGCTACCCTGTACCGTCAAAGCCAATCATCGCTGTAACTTCCGGCGGCCGACAAATACCATCACCGCAAGTTGGCGTCGTACCAGTCAGAGAGATCGAAAGACGAAGTCTAGGCTGTCGCCGCTACTGTTCTCGGTTAGAAGTCACAGACATTTTCTTTTCCATCTCTTTCTGTCACGTATTGCTGCCATTATTTCGACAACCACAAGCCGCCATGAGGGTGGCTGAGTTCGTATGAGTGTATTTCATAGTTGGGGCTCATGTTTCGTGTTTCGTGTGTGTGTGTGTGTGTGTGTCGTTGCTACAGTCGTGAGGTGCGTGGGTGCGTCTTTGGCTGGCCGGAAAGTGAGAAGAACCACCAACGTCGCTGTGTTGCCTTTTTCTGCCGCCATTCCGTTTTTCTGCCACCATCAGCCACCATATGTGGGTGGTTGTGTGAGTTTATTAGTGTGTGTGTGTGTCACGTGTATGGGTGTGTTGTGTTGTTGTTCATGTATTGGTGTGTTTTGCTTGACCTAGAACCAAAAAAGAACCCACCACCACCACCGTGAGGTGGTAGCTGCCACCTCATGTCGCCGCCAACCACCATTTTTGGTGGTTGTGTTGGGCCTTTTATTATTCTTTTGGTGCTAGTGTGTGTGTGTTGTAATACGTTGTATGTGTTTTGGATTGTTGGAATAGTACTCAAACCGCCGCCGTGTGCGGGTGGCTGCCGCCATTGACCTCCGCCGACCACCACTGCCTGAGGTGGCAGTGGGTGGTGCCCAATTTGTTAATTATATATTTATTTATTTATATAATCAATTAACTTTAGGGGTTGGAAACCCTTATTAGGGTTTATAAAACCCTAATATCAAGAAAACCCTAATTGGAGTTGGTCGGGACCCGCGTTAAAACTATTAATTAAACCAAAAATAACAACTTAATAATTCTCCACAATTAACTTGATGCAATATTAGACTTAATGGATTAAGTCCTTAATGGGTTAAGTGTTCTTACTTAACCCTAATTGTCATTTCATGTGAAACCTAATCGTCATTTCATGTGAAACCCTAATCGTCATTTCATGTGAAACCTAATCGCCATTTCATGTGAAACCTTAATCGTCATTTCATGGGAAACCTAATCGCCGTTTCATGTGAAACCTTAATCGTCATTTCATGAGAAGTGGTCACTGTTGCATGTGACTATGATCTGTGATCGGATATTGACTCAAGTATCTTCCTGTAGGTGTTTGGAAGTGAGTTGAAGTTGGTAGAGCCCTTCATTGCTACAGTGGTTTCTGTGCGCACATCGAGATGAGTTTCGCCTCACTGTACTCGTGGGTCGAAGGCACCAATGCCGGCCCATTAGTATTGATTATCTGCTAGTAGAAGGATGCCCTAGGGATTAGTCATGTAGGATAGAGTGAGGAATCTTGATCTAAGCTCTCTTACATGTTCCTTGTTTGGTTGTGGTTTTAGAGTAGGATCACCTGTCCGGGTGATTATCTCACCTCTGAGTATATACGGTTATGCATTCCTTGGATTGTTGATATTTAGTATGATGTTATGCTGTAGTGATCTGTTAGATCTATGTTCTGGTATTGAGTATGCTGATATGATGTAGTGATCAGTTAGACCTGTCTCCTGGTAATGAGTATGTTGCTTTGTGGTAATAACCTGTAGAACTGTATGTTATTTGTGCTTGTTGGTTATCATCTATGGAGTGCCCTTAGGGACTGTCGGTGGTTATGTAGGATAGCCTGAGAACTCTTGGTCTAGGATCTCTTGCCTGTTCCTTGTTTGGTTGTGGCTCTAGGGTAGGACTATCTGTTCGGGTGGCTATCTCACATCTGGTTACTTATGGTTACGCATTCTATGGGGGTTAGCTGGTAGCGGGACTGTATGTTATGAGAGGATTAGTAGGTAGTAGTGAGTTTTATGATTGTTGTTTGCATGTATTATGTGCCTACTTGATCATGATTGTTTAT